AATAATAAGAAATATTTGCCTGCTTTAAAAATTAATATAAACTTAATATAAATTGGAATTAAAATTTTTAAAATTAGATTAATTTGATTTTACGTATTAAAAAAAGAAATTATTTGCAAATTTTAACAGATATTTCAATTCTGTAAAAAAAAATAAAATTAAAAAATCCCAAAGTACTTTCTTTTTTTCATATTTTCTTACCTGATTAAAATTATTCCATACATATGTCTGTCTCTTTCTTTCTTTCTTTCTTTCTTTCTTTTATTTTTTTTTTTTAACTATTATGGTGATGTAAGAAGTAAGAGTTGTTTATTGATGTGCAAATTGTCTTTTTCACCTTACCGCCAAAACCGCCAAAATATTATTTACCGATGAATACACCGCGGGATTGTATAATAATTAAAAAAAAAAAAAAAAAAAAGAAAAGAAATACTTGAATATTCCTGTATGTGACATATTTTTTGTCACATCTTTTCATTTTTTACATTCAATAATTAATTGTTTAATTTTGAGGATAAATAAGTATTTTTTTCAAAGTATCATACTTATGAATTGAAAGCACTAACATACTATCATTACCATTACTATCACAATTATTACTACAACTAATTAACCTTAATCGATTGACCTTTGATTGATTCCTAAGTTTATCCTCCATTTTTTTTCCTTTTTATTTTATAAATTCATCAGTATTTATTTGACCTAAAAAGAAAGGGACCAGTAAATGAAAATGTAACAAAAATGAAATCAAAAAAAAAAAGAAATGCCAAAAATCTTTAAATATAATAATTAAAATCTTTTATAAATTAAAATTCTTTCATTTAAACGAAGAAATTAACATTGTATGACAATGTTAATAAACAAATTTTTTATTTCAACTAATAAAATATCATAAAAAAGAGCATTTTTTTGTTTTTTTTGTATGAAATTTAAGTTAAATTTAAAAAAGAGTAAAAATTTTATAACTGTTATATACTGTAAATTGTAACATTTTTTTTTTTTGTAAGCAATCATTTAAGCAAACAATTACTGTATCTATCGTATATGGCACCTATTTGTCACCTGTCGTATTTAATTGTCAAAATCAAAATTGATTTGCTTCATAAGAATGGGAATAACTTCTTTTTTTTGAGTAAAAAAATACAAAAAGAAATTTAAAAAATAACCTTTTATAATTTTTTATCAAATGTATTTTATTTTTTATCAAGTTTTTAATTTTTATCAAATCCTTTTTATTGCTATTTTTGATGAAATCATTTAACTTTCATCAAACTTTTTTTTTCCAGGTTACCGATCAAGAATATCAAATGATAATCGGTCATTCACGATTAAGACGGCGACAACATTTAGCTAATAATAGGAGAGATTGGCGATCACGTTCCTTAACACCTTCAGGTTCTCGATCAGAGCATAGATTTCGAACTTTGTCACCTGTCACTTATCGACATCATATTTTCTAAGACGATAAATGAAATCATGAAGAAATGAGTATGATGAGAAGAAAATATTACTTTATAGTTAAAACATGTGGTTAATAAAGTAATAGTCATTTTAAAATAAATCTTTATTGATTTAACTAATTGCTTAATTGATTCGCCCTGATTACATATGAAAACTTTATTTAATTAACAATTTATACAATAAGAATTAATTAATTAACTGCTACACATCATTTCATTAATCATATAAATATTTTTTTTAAACTATCAAAATTTGTAAAAATATTCGAAATTGAGAAAATGATGGAATAATTAAATTATGAATAATTATTTTATTAAATAAATCTAAAATAAATTCAAGTTTTATTTCCTTTATAACTTTGCATAATAAACATTTGTAGTGTAATTTGTACTAAAAAATTACGACAAAAATAATAAAAAAATTAAGAGTTTATTTGGGAAAATTAGGAATTTATTTGACAAAGTTTGATATTAATTAAATAATTTGAAACAAAAAGAATTTTATTTTAGAAAAGTGTAAAAATTGTGCAAATTAATTTCAATCATTCTTAATTAATTTCTATTTTGAATTAAATTTACTATACAATTGAGCATATTGGAAAATATACCCTTATGAAGTAGAAATAATACTCAATAAATGTATTTTAACCTTTATTGTTGCAACACTTAAAAATGTATGTGTGTATGTATGTCTGTGTGTGTATGTGTGTGTATGTGCGTGGGTGTGTGTGCATGTATATGTGTGTGCGTGTATGCGTGTCCGTTGTTTATGCATATGCCAAATATCTGCCCGCCAAAAAATTATTTACCTCTTTGACACATCGTGAAATTAGCCAAAAAAAAGGAAAAGAATATGAAAGGGGAAAAAAAGATGATAAAAGGAATCCAAGAGAAAAAAGATATCGATAGATGAAAGAATGTGGACAGAGAGAGAGAGAGAGAGAGAGAGAGAGAGAGAGAGGAGGAGGGGAGGA